GACCAATCAAGAACTCAGGAGACCTCAGCCCCAACCAATCAGGGACGACCATCCACCCCAGCCCTAAATTTAAAAATCCATAGTCTGGACCAGCAGGTTGCTACTCTCTCCTTAGAGGTAGTCCAGCAAGCTAATTCCCAATAACCCTGCACTTCTGGGGACCCTGCACTGCCTTGTTCTGTCTCATTCTTACACCATTCACCTGCCTTTTTATTCTGAATAATAATAATAACTGGACTTTGGCCCTGGCCGGTTTGGCTCAGCAGTTGGAGCGTCAGCCTGCAAGCCAGAGAGTCCTGGGTTCAGTTCCCGCTAGGGGCACATACCAAAAAATTAAAAAATAAAAATAAATAAATAATAATTGGACTTTAAATGCCATCTAAGGTTATGATCTTGCCCCATCCCTACTGGTCCGCCTTATTCAGCAACACAAACACTAACACTAAGCCTTCCTAGCGCTGTGGGACCTTAGTATCCAACCAAAAGTTTGGCCATCAATGTATCTTTTCGACTGATTTATGACCACAAGGGGGACATGTGGACAAAAGGGGGCACATACTAAACCTGACAAGCTCAGGGAGGCCTGTATGGCAGCCTTACAAACTCAGAGACCTAAAATAACCACAAAGAATGGTCTGAAATTAAAACTTTTTAACTAAAAGCAGTTTATGGTGGGTAGCCATGTCCTAGGCTGGTATCTTCCCTAACAAAGGTCAACTTTCACCTTAATTAAGCCTATTCTTTTTGCATGTATGATAACATACTTTTGAATATCAGAGTAACTTCCCTGTTTCCAGGCCCCTCAGGGCAGAGACCACATTGTTATTGTCATGTTAATTGTTGACTCTTAACTATTCTATACCCACCTATGTAAAAGAAGCAGCCCAGCATGTCTATCATTTTACATTTTATCCAGCCCCAGATGTCCCCTTCACCCCTCCAACTCCCCGCCCCCAACCCACACACACACCTTGCTTTGCTTTCTCCAGTCTCCCTGATCTATCACCAGTGGATTTCATGTAACCCATTTATGTCTCCTTTTTTTATTGTAATATATAAAATAAAGTGCAAAAATGCCATTCTCTGGAGCATTATCTCAATCTGTTGCGGTTTTGCTTCCTGGCAATTGTCGACAGTTTTGGTCAAATAAACTCACAACATTTTTCACAGGTTTGAATATTTCTTACGTTGACACCATGGTGGAATTGGGTGTGGTTTAGCATTAGGTTAGCTGCAGTCCATCAGTCCACTGTGTAGGGGCCCGTGGCTGTCGGCCATGTGGGCAAATGCAGAGGAGCCAAGGAGCACATCTCCTGCAACAAGACAGCCAGGAGCCAAGACAGCACGAGACCCAGAGTACAAGAGAGCAAACTCTTTTGTTTAGGAGATTAAATATCAAATCTTCCCCTGCTTGCACTAGCCATGCCTACTCTGCCAATGACCCGTTCCCAGGTGCGACTTATAGGCAAGTACCTTCCCTATGTCACCCAGACTTTATTGAGCATCTGTCTATTCTTCCCTTGTCCAGTCCCTTCCCCTAGCATGGGAGGGACCTGTGTTCCCTGGAGAGTGTTAAACTGCAGTTTCCTGGCAAAACTGCACAAATGACTATAAAATCTTGCCTTCCCTTTGCTACTTTCCAGTTATTAATAACTATGTTAAATTATAGTAGCATCAGTTAGAACCTCTACCATGTATGTATCTGAACTATGTCTGTGCTTACTGTTAGCTAAAACAATAATGTGTGTGCTAATGAACAATTACTCGTCATACAAGCTGCTCAAATATTTAACAAATAAGGTTTGTGGTTATATGATAACAGTTTATCATCCTTTTTCTGCCCAGCATATATTCTACAGTTTTTATGCTAGTCAACAGCTATACCTCATTTTCACAATCAATCAAAATCAAGGGGGGAAATTTAATCTTTAATCTTTTCCTGTCAAATACTCCTATTTAATCACTGATTATCCATTGAATAACTTTTTCATGAAGGCAGTATTTTAAAAGTTAATAATGCATATACACTTAAGTGACTGAATTATGGATTCCAATGTTCTCTGGCAATAGAATATTCACTTATGACACAGAATGTTTCACTTTTATTTTAAACTGAGCTTCTCTCAGGGTAGACTAACAGTCTTCATTGCTCAGGAGAAAGCCTATACACATGCATTACATAACTTTACTAACACCAAATAGACATTTTAAAATATCAGTTCTATAACCAAATAACATAGTTTACATGAGGATTACAAGAATTAAACATAGAGTTAAAACCTTTGTAATACAATAATGTAAATACACTCTACTTTTACATGGCTATTTAGACTCAAGACCTATGGCATAAAAAGGAAGTTTGAGACATATAATCTGGACTTCTACATGTTAACATGAAGGCAACAATCTAGAAATAACAACACACCAGTTTATCCAGAGATTTAGAAAACCAGGGTGAAACTGAACTACTGTGTCCTATTTAATCAATCATGTGCCAAATAGGACATCAACACAACACAATGATGTGAACAACACAAGGTCAATTTGCATATTGTCCAGCAGTCCTATCCAGAGATACCAAGGCAGCTCCAGATCAGTCTGTGGTGGGAATGACACGATGGACAGATGGGTCACTCAGCTCTCCCCATCTGTGTCTGGAGGATGTCAAAGTATGGTTACTGGGTTTATGAAGACAGATGAGATTTCAAATCCAGGTGATTGCACCTGGTTCTGTTTGTGGCCACTTTACTCTTTGTTCATCACCTTAGATGATGTAGCAGTTACTCTAAGTTTACAACTTTAATTTTAAAAAATTACTGAGGATTCATAAAAGAATTTTTGTCATAAAGAAAATCAATAAAATGTTTCCAAGAAATTTGAGAGATACTACAATGAATTCCAAGAGGCCTCGGAGGCCCACTGGCAGAGTGCCCCAATGTCCATCATTGGAAATGTACTGGAGATGAAAAACTGTATTTTGAACAATTTACTATTACTGGTCACCCAAGGTATATTTCCAAATTTACATTTTCTAAACTTATGGCTATGTATTATCTCATTGTTCCCAATTACTCTGAGAGCTAAAGAAGTGATTATCATTCACCAAAATCAAAGAGGGAGTTTGCATAGCCCCACCCAAGGAAGAATTTTTTTCCTTCCAGACATTTTCATAAAGGTATTTTGAACCAAAATAATTGCAAAATTGATTGGTTCCCATTAAATTAAGTAAACAAAACCTGCTGGTGACACTAACATTCTTTCTCACACTTCACACCAAGCCATAGAAAACAAATATTTATAGAAATTTTTATTCCTGTTTTGAATTCATCCCAAAGGAAAAAAAATACCATTTAAAAAACTGTAATCAATGACTATGGTCTGGTTAAGGCTCTGCCACTCCTGTCTAAGGTGCAAACTGCAGATGGTTGGGCAAAGTGTCAATATTCTCTCTTATTCCACTTTCATCTCCCATAAGTACAGATAAAATAAAGGTAAGGCTGGCCGGAAGCCCTTGTGATTCCAGAACCAGGTATTTACCAGATTCACCTAACTACACGTGCAGTCTGGGACTAGGGAATAAAGCATATGTAATCCATACTCCCAGTGGAAAGAAATCCAGTAGAGAGAAATATGAGGGTGTTGTCATTCAGCGTCTTGGTTGTCCCCAATGCGAAAGGAATGAAGAATACGAGGAAAGGGGAACGAAAGAATAATTTGCATTTCTTTTTACCTCATTTACTCCTCACAGAAATGTATGAGGTTGGGACATATTTATAAACTTGTCAGTCCTGTAAAGCAATAAAGAAAATATTGCAACGAACCGGTCCAAGTTTTAGGAGAGGTCCACGGGCACATAGGGACGTGAGGGTAATGAGGCCCTCTAAGAAGAGATAATTACTAAGCAGAAGATGTAAGTAGCATGTTAGCAAGCGCATGATTCATTTTAGGACACTCTGCGCTGGGCAGTTGATTCCGCAAGGGGGCGCCACGACCGCGCGCCTGGAAAACTCAGGCTCCAGGCCTTTCTGAACCTGACACTGTGGAGTTCCCTGGAGCCTGAGTCCCCGAACATTTTCATGTGAGAGTAGGGGTAAGAAAGGGGATCGGCAACGGAAGAAAGGGCTGGATCAGAAAGAAGGATTATTACTAGTCTTATCACTAGTATAAAGAGTCACAACCGAGTTCCAGCCTCCTACACCATAAGCCTCCTCATTCTCTCTTCTCGCTCTCCTTTACCTGTCTCTCTTCTTCTCACTCTCTCTCTCTATGCTAGGCTGCCATAAAGAAGCCAGAGTGGCCTCGTCAACCATTACCACGCATCTCGAAGTGGGCACAGAACTGCACATGCTTTGACCCTTTTCTCCAGCTGTTGGAACACTTGGAGAAGGACGCGAGTGTGTGTGTGCGTGTGCGTGTGCGTGTGCGTGTGCGTGTGTGTGTGTGTGTGGTGGGGGTGATGGGCAGGCTGTTCATAGCTTGAGCTGAAAGAAACACAGACAGTCGCTGCTGGAAACCTAAGAAGCAAAGCGCAGATGCAAGCGCAGACCTGATGATGCCGCTGCATCCTCCGACTTCACGCGTGGTAGTGCCGAGGGCTCCACCTAGAGCCCGGGTTGCGCATGACTTGGGGGCGGGGTGGGGGGTTAAGCGAGTTGGGGAAGGACAAAGGAGTGCCCAGCAGTTCTTCCTTTTTCCTCTCCCCTCACTCCCACCCCTGTCAAGTTCAGGGAGGTGCCCTTTGGCATTAGAAAGCCCTCGGTGGGAGTTCTCTGCCACACACTAAATGTGCTCCAGCATCACCCAGAGGGCCTGGCAAATTCAACTTACAGGCACAGCCACAGCGCGTCCGATTCCCTGGTTGTGAGCCCGAGCCCGAGAATCTGCATGTCTAGCAAGGTTTTTTTTGGGGGGGGAGAGGGGGCTGTCTGGAACATGGCCGGTCAGGGACAGCACCCTGAGTGCCTCAGGACTGGCGGTGTCGAGGTCGGGAGGCAGAGGAGTCAAGCAGGCTTTTGGCAAGCCATCAGCTGTCGGAGGCTCTTGCGGAAGCTGTCGTCCAGGAAGGCGTAGAGGAAGGGGTTGAGGCAGCTGTTGGCATAGCTCAAGCTGGTGATGAAGTAGGAGACCGAGATGACAAGCGGTGTCTGCGGGAGGTCGGTCGTGAGCACTACCAAGGTGCTCAGGTGGTAGGGCGTCCAGCAGAGGAGGCACACAGCCAGGATCGCCACCACCAAAAGAGTTACCCGTTTCTTAGCACGGTCCAGGACCTTGGCATGACTGTCGAGGCGTATGGCTCGCAGCCGGCACAGCAGGGTGATGTAGAGGACGCAGATGGTAGACACTGGGAAGGCAAAGCCGAGCACGAGCGTGTAGAGGCGGCTCGCCCGCCACCAGAAGGCTTCGGGCTTCGGAAAGACCAGCACGCACTGGCGCCGGCCCTGCTCCTCGTCGAGCTGGGCAAAGATCGCGAAGGGCAGTACGACCAGCGTCACAAGCCCCCACACAGCCAGACTCACCGCGCGCGCCGCGCCGTACGTGCGCCCAGCCACCCGGCGCGACTTGGCGGCAGCCAGCACCACCAGGTAGCGGTCGGCGCTCATGACTGTGAGGAAGTAGAGGCTGGAGAAGGTGTTGTACTGGTCAATAGCCACGATGAGCTTGCACATAACCTCCCCGAAGGGCCACTGCCGCAGCAGGAAGTCGGCGATATTAATGGGCAAAACGAGCGTGAAGAGCTCGTCGGCGATGGCCAGGTTGAGGATAAACAGGTTGGTGACATTCTTCTTGCGGGGAGTCCGCAGCAGCACAAACAGCACCGCAGAGTTGCCCGTCAGCCCCACCGCGCAGATCACCGCATAGACAACTGGTACAGCCACGGCCAGCGGCGGCGGCGGCAGCAGCAGCGGCTGGGGGCTCGAAGCGTTGGGGCATCCCAGCGCAAAGCCGGGGCACGACGACGTGTTAGAGGGCCCCGGCTCCGTGGACGACGTATTGTGCATCTCTGTGAGGGAAGGGGTGCAGTCGATTCCGTTTTCTTCACTGTCGCCCTTTGGGGCTCCAAGCCCTTCTCTGGTCCTTCTAGGGAAGGCTCGTTCCTGGCCACCCTCTTAGTCCACTGTCGCCGCGGACTCCAGGGGCTGCAACGTGAAATTAAAACGCAAGTTATGTTTGTCTACATGCAGCTTTAGGTAGAGGTGCGGAACCACGGGTCAGGGGGTGGCACCCCAAACCTGCCCCACGTGATCGCTGTCTGCCACCTGTTGAAATCTTATTCTAATCAGTAGAATGCATGAAACGAAGTGATGGAGCCTAAGCAGTCCTTTCTTTTCATAGGAAAAATACAAACCTGCTTTAGGACACCTCTGGCTCTGGCGGACTCAGTTCACCCCAGGGAATTCTGCAATGGCAAGCAAGCTTCGGTCCCCCTAGTTTCCGTCCTCCTGTAACAGGCAGCAAGCTCAACCACAATCTCTAGCTCACCTGCCTGAGAAAAGGTCTGCTTTTTCTGGAGCGGTCAGAAGAGGAGGCCAGCTGCTGGGGAGACTGCGGTGCCAGCCTGCTGTCCGCCTCCAACCTGTCCACCCGGAGGCGGCAACTCGCGCCTACCCGGGTCCTGCCCGCGCGCCTGGAGCTTAGGTATCGCGCAGCCTCAGTGCGCTGTGCTGACCCAACCGACACCCCCACCACCCCAACCCCAAGTGAAACGGGCGGAATAGAGAATCACATTACTCAAAAATTACAGAATTATTTTATTTCTTCCAATAATGTAACCTTATTTCATCTTAATTAATAAAAGCTCTCCTGTTAAGAATTAAGTTTAAGAACAGCAATTTAAAGTTAGAGTGTATTGTAAAAGGAGAACAATGCAGTTGCTGTTCCACTCTATTTTTTTAAAAGCCGTACTGCAAATGGGCTAATGTCATTTTAAAGTTCAAATTACGTTCATACTCCATTGTTATTTGGGAGGAAAAAATTAATGCAATTTAAAATGCAAATTACCCATTTTTCTAATACTCTAGTCTTCTCAAAATTACAATATTGTTAATAACAAATAATGATCGACAATTTAAGATATTTTAGGCTTTCTAAAAATATATGTAAGCGATGACTTTATTATCAAAGACAAACTGCTTCTGACCATCTTTGAGGGTATGTTTCATAAAACATTGCAAGTTGTTCAACACACAGCCTTGAACCTCCCTCTAGAGAGAACTACCCTGCAGCCTCAGAGGTGTTGCCAAAGTGAGGCAGCGCCTGGACCTACCTGGGCTCCAATGTTGATCTCGTGGAGCTTTGAGAAACTCTGAATTCCTACTCTCTAAGGCGGAGCTCATGTGAAACCTCACCTTTGAAGACTGAATGAAACGAGCTAAATGTTAGTTCCCTCCAATTCCGACTTTCTTCCTCTACCCTCCCTTTGAGAGAGCAAGCAAATTAAAACCACAGGATTCTATCCAGCTTCCTTTTATTTTCCTTCCACGAGAGCAGACGAATGCCTAAATAAAATGCATTTTTGGTCCTTTAAGATGCATTTTTAGAGGAGAGACTGGAAATAGCCAGCAGAAGTCTCTAGGGGTGGAAATACAAACGTTTTTCTTTACCCACTCCCACTAAAATCTCTCAGTCAGGAACTACATAAATCTGTCTTCCCTGCAGTTTCATGCTTTGTGTGAAGAAAAGTCTTAGGCATGTCCATGAGAAAAAATATATAAAAAACACTATATAATCATAAGTGAAACAAAAAAGAACGATTATATATGACATATACAATAAACAAATATATACATACACGAATATCTGTATGTACGTGTATCTATACATACATATGTATGTAGTTGCCTAATTTTCAAATATTTGGAAATTTTCTAGCTTTTTAATTATGGATTTCTAACTTCATTACACTGTGGACAGAACATATAGACTTTATTGGCATTTGTTGAAACATTGCTCAGTATGTAGTTTTCCAATTATTTAATGTATATTAATGTTCTACATTTTTTGGTTGCAGAATTCTACATATGTCAACTAGTCCAATGTATTATTTATTTAAATCCTCTATTTATTAGAATTTTTATCTGATTGTTTTTTCAGTGTTAAAAATATCAAGGTGGATTTCTCTAATTATGCTTTTAATTCTGTCTGCTTTACTACATAATATAATATCATTTCATTAGGTGCACATAAATTTAAGATTATTATATTTTCCTGTGGAATGGACTCTTATTATAAAATATCCTTTTTTAACTGGGTTGTAACTTCTTGCTATAGGTAGTGTTTTGTGTTTAATATTATTACAACTACACCAATTGTATATCTCTCAATATTATCATGAAATAGCTCTTGTTAAATTCTTACACTTTAAATTTTCTGTGTCCTTATGTTTAAAATACGTCCCATATAAGCATTATAAAGGTTTTCCTAATCCAGTCTGACAACTGTCTTCAAATTGCAGTATTTATATTAATAATATACTCAATGTCGTTATAGATAACATTAAGGAATATTTACTATGTTATACTTTGTTTTCTACTTCTACCTCATTTTTGTCCTTTTTTACATTCTTTTGGATTAAAATTAAATATTTTATTGTTCAGTTTTCTTCACTTTATTCATTTATTAGTTCTACATGCTTTTATTATTTTTAGAGGTATCCTAGACATTAGAGTATGTACCCTTGACTTACTAATGTCTAGCCTAAATTATTACTTTTACAACCTTTCTAATAATGCAAGGACATTTTGTATTAAATTGTTGGGTGACATTGGTAAATAAAATTATATGCAAGGACTTTTTAGCATTTAAATGCCATTTACCTCCCTCCTCTTTGTGTGCTGTTACATATCTTCTAAATCTATATATACTCTTTAAACCCTATAGAACAGTACTATTAATACTATCATTTTTATTATTGTTTTAAATCGTGAATATGCTTTCATGTGTATCTACATATATCTGGTCCTCTTCATTCCTTCCTGCATCAATATGTTTCTATCTGATATCATTTCCCTTATAATAAAAGAACTCCTTCATATTTTAAATGCAGTTCTGCTGGTGATAAACTCTTACTGTTGTTGTTCTTTTGGCCTGAAAATTTTTTTTCTTTCTTTCTTTTTTGTTTTTATTATTATTATTTAATAGATTTTTGTCTTTATTGATTTTAGAGAGAGAGGGAGTGAGAGGGAGAAAGAGATATAAATATTGATGAGAGAGAACATCAATTGGCTGCCTCCTGCATGCCCCCCACTGGGCATCAGGCCCACAACTTGGGCATGTGCCCTGACCTAGAATCAAACTGGTGACCTCTTGGTGCATGGGTCGATGCTCAACCAGTGAGCTACACCGGCTGGACTCTTTTTTTTTTCATCCTCACCCAAGGATATGTTTGTTTTTGTGTTTCTTGATTTTTTAGAAAGAGAGAGAAACATCAATGTGAGAAAGAAACATCAATCAGTTGCCCCCCAAACATGCCCCCACCAGAAACTGAACCTGCAACCTAGGTATGTGCCCCGAGAGGAAATGGGACCTGAAACCTTTTGATGTATGGGATGATGATCCAACCAACTGAGCCACCCGGCTAGGGCTCCCCTTCATTTCTGAAGGATGTTTCACTGTATATGAAATTCTAGACTTTCGGTTTTATTGCAACAGTTTTAATGTTTTTCCACTTTTTGCTCCATTGTGTTTGAAAGGTAAAAGTCAGTGGTTTGAGGTGTTCAAGCATGCTAAATAGCAATCTCAGATGGTGAATAAAGAAAAATTCAGTTTATTTAAAGAAAAGGGAATGGGGGTAGGGATATCTAAAGAGAAAGGCTACACATCACCAACCCATGGGGTATTGGGTCATTGAGGGCAGCCCCTAGGAGCTGGTTTTCTCCTTATATGCATCTACTGGCAGGAAGCTTTTTTCATTCAGTGGATTTTGGGGTCTTGGTTGATGAGTTTGGGCAGGGGGTTGGGTATACAGGAATGTGGATGTGCGATTGGGTGCTTCTTTGGCTCCTGATGTCCAGTTGCATTTCTAGTCCAGCCAGTTCTTCTGTGGCAGAAAGTTTGGTCTTTGTTCTCCTGGGGAGAGGCTTGCACAATGGCCTTTAGAAATGATATTGCCTGTGTGAGTTCTAACAGTATCTGTTGGAGATGTGGTTTTCTGTCTTACGATAGCTGTTTTGAAGGTAATTTGCCTTTTGTTCTATAATTGTTCTTTTTTTTTTTAAAGTTGATTTTAGAAAGAGAGAGAAACATGACTAAATGGAGAAGTTAATATATAAAGTTGTCTGTACAGTGGTTCCTTGAAAATGTTGTTTCATGCAACATTGATGAGACACCCTAGGAGTTTAACTCTCGTTTATATCAATTAGCCTATAACAAAATTGGTATACATGGTTTCACTTAAAGTCACATAACCTATTGAGGACCTTAAGTGAGGACTTACTATATAGTACAGTATCAAATTGAAAAGGATATGTATGCCCTAGCCCATGTTTCTCAGTGGTTAGAGCATCGGTACAAGCACTGAAGGGTTGTGATTTTAATTCCCTGTCAAGGGCACATAACTGGATTGTAGGTTTGATCCCCAGCCACAGTCAGGGCTCATGCAGAAGGCAACAAATTGGTGTGACCCTCTCACATCAATATCTCTCTCTCTCTCTCCCCCTTTCTTCCTCCCTTCCACTGTCTCTAAAAATCAATGGAAAAAATATTGTTTTGTGAGGATTAACAAAAAAAATCATACATATATATATATGTTTCCATATACATAATTATATGTAAGTGTGTATCATCATGAAAGGATATACATCAAGATGTTAAAAATGTTTCAGTAAGCTATGGGTTTGGCAATTTCATTTCTTTGCACTTTTCTGACTTTCCAAACTGTTTGTATAATTTCTTTTATATTAGTAAAGAAAAAAAAAAGCATATTTATAAAAACTAGAGTAATGAAATGCTATCTCTCGGCCTACCAAGATCAGCGCAATGCAGTAAACTACAAGCACATGCT